GGCATGTGCCTCCTGTACTGGCCCCGCTCTCATCTCTGTGTGGAGTGAGAGACAAATGCCCAAAAATTAACAATTGTAAACCGCTTTGAGACTCAGATCTGCAGTGAAAAGGCGGTATATAAATAAAAAAAATTACTTACTACTAAAGAGTTTCTCAAAGCAGAGCTACAAATGGCACGGCACATATACAATAAAACTCCACTCTGATCATTATCATTATAAATATTTCTTGTGATGTGATTGGTATGCAACCACTTTCCCACTCACAGGGGAAAAGAGAGAATGAAAAACAAAACAAAACCAAAAAGGTACAGGGAGGATCTGTACATTATATTATTATTTGAAAAAAATAGTGGGAGGAAGAAAACGATACGCCGGTATGGATACTTTAAATGGAATAGTATGTAAAGGGTTAAATGTCATTGTTTCATATCTGCCATGTTAGAAATCCAGTGGTTCGACAAGAGTGAGATGGACAGAAGAAAACAGACCAGTGACAGGCGGCGACCTGAACCCTGTCATCATGATTTTCCCTGATATCTTCCACCCTTGTCAATTTAGCATAAATTATCAGTCATGAAAGGCCTGCTGGCTGATTAAAACCAATTGTCGCGGTATAGAAGGACAAGGCAACCTCTTTATTATATGATAAACTCGGTAAATGGAAGATGACAACATATCCGCAGGGAAATCGGTGCACCTCTTAATTAAAACGTTGTGTTGTGTTTGAAACGAGATTAGGGCCTTTGCATAATCTATACACTAGGAGAAAAGTTGGAAAACTTGTAAAAGTCTTCAAACGTGATGTTGCCTCCTGTGCAGCTGCCACAAACAGCAGAAAGAGAGATCTGTGAGAGTAATCAGCCCCAATCAGTCCCATCCAGCGCACAAACAAACATTCAAGAATGTTTTAACAGATTTGTTTATGAAGACAGCTCTTGTGACACTTTGTAATTATGCCGGATCTTAAATCAGATTATCGCCTCTCAGAACATGTTTCATTAGCACATCCAGAGCGAGCACAATCCAAGTGTGGCATATTGTTACAGTCCCGCTTCACTCTGGCGGCGGCTGCATCTCAATTTATTATTGTTATTAGTATTTTTTGGGACAACATTAGCAAATCGTGTTGTAAGACAGTCAGAATGTACACAAACCACTTGATTCAAGCCTTTATTACCTCTTATTTTATCATTTTTTTGCAGTGTAAACATGGTATTGGTGTTGACAGTTGTACATTGAACATTGGTCCCTCCCCCTGAACTGGGCTCAAAAAGTACAACTTTATGCAGCTTTTTCTCAGTTTTGTGATTTCAGGTAGCCTCATTAATCTTTCGAATATGATCAGATTTGCAGCTTAGAATCTACACTTGATGAGTACTCCAGGGAAAATTATTTGCCTTGCAAATATTATTTTTCTAATGTCTGCTTTGAATGAAAGTTTCACTTTCAGAATCTGTGACAACTCCAAATGTCTCTGAGTATACAGACTTGTTCCCTCTTTTCCCAATGGCCAGTCACATTTTCTTTGTATAACCTTCTAGCTTTAACATTCTCCACAAGAGGTCAATCCTTGACCTCTGTGTTGTGCTCTTTGGCCTTCATGATGCTGTTTAGTGACAGTTACACTGTAAACATAGCTCTGAGACCCTAACAGAGCAGCTGTTATTATACTGAGAAAAGATCTAAGTGTTAGCATTCAGCAGTCGTTGGAACATGTTCATAGTATATTTAACAGACTCAGAGAAATATGTCAAGTATCATACACTTCAATAAGTCAACAATTGATACAGATAGGTAACATGTATTTTAATTTGAGCACATTCTGACTGCCTTAAAACAAGATTTGCCAATGGGACATGCAAAATTATCTTATTTTAAAAAGAAATGTCACCCTTTGAATGAGAAATAATTAGACTAAATGCCTTTGCCCCATTGGCAAATCTTGTTTTAAGACACTCAGAATGTTCTCAAATTAAGATGAAAACCATTCAAATCAAGCAATTATATACCTCATATTTTATAATTTTTTTGTGGTGTTCACAGATGTCTGTTACTTTGTTGTGGTCTGTCAGGAAACAATCTAAAATAAAATATCCATGTGACAAAATGTACTTAACAAAGCATTTTGTTGTAAATGGTGAAAAGGACAAGAAATCATGTAAACGTGGGTTTGTCTTTAAAGCTGGAGCACATGATTTTCTTTTTTTCTTAAATGCATGTTGTTTATTCCAACAGTCTTGTTTAAGAATCATCAATTGGATGGAAAGATGAATAAATATATTGTGGCATACCTGCATGTGAAAGCCTGATCCTGTCAAGCTAAGTAGAGCAGGGCCTGGTTAGTACTGAGATGGGAGACCTTCGGAAAAACCAGGTGCCACAGTGGGGCGGCTGCGGCTGTAAAGTGCCAAACTGTTGTTGTGTCCTTAGGCAAGACACTTCACCCACATTGCCTAGAATGAGTCTGGTGTCTGTGAATGGTTGGTGGTGGTCGGAGGGCCTGATGGCACATACTGATGGCCTCACTTCTGTCAGTGTGCCCCAGGGCAGCTGTGGCTACAGTAGTAGTTTATCACCACCGTGAATGAATGATGACATGTGAGGCGTCTTTGAGTGTCCATGAAGAGCTATATAACACTGATGCATTATTAGTATTTTTTTTCTTATAAATTAGACCATGACACGCGGCCTTCTCTTATTAGAAAAAAGTGGGTTTATAATTTTATTTATGATTTTTTTATTTTACACATACACAGCAAAAATAGTCAATGAGTCAATTACTAAAAACAAAAAAGCTGCACATGGTTTGAAAATGGGTTGGATGGAGCAAATGATGCATGCATGTGAAAACTACAGTCACAGCACCCAAAACGTATTGAGAGAGAGAAACTATATTCATTTTTTGGTTTTTACATTTTGAAAGTTAGCCACTCCAGCTATAATTGGGATGCAGCTTTCGTCGACTTCTTTCGGGGACTCCTTCCACAGTCTAGTGCTTTTCGTGGATGACATAACAAGAAGCGCAAACATGTGTCCTCTCCTCCACTTCTCCACCCACACTCGAGAGGTGACAACCATACACCCGGACTTCCATTATTACCAACAAGAATGCCACTGGGAGGATAATTGCTGAAACTTGAAGAGCCAAAGCTAATCCTAAGCACTTCACTTTGTATGACTGGCTCGCCGGCCTGTCTCTCGCTGACAAAGTGCGACGCTGTTTCTCCCTGAAAGTCAATAAGAAGACCTCATGGCCCGCAGATGAAGCGTCCGTGCCAAATGGATCCAAAATACACTGTTTTGGAGTTTGTCATCCTAAACTGTAATCTAACAACGCGCCGTGGCAAACAAGTGGCCAGGGGGACGCAGTGATTACAGCACCAACTGGCAAATAAACGAATAAATCCTCTTTTTTTTTTTTTATGGGAACAGATGGACAACACTCGACATAAAAAGCTGGTGCAGCAGATAAAGTGGTGCAATGTGCAGCTGGAAGCGAGACAAAGGGACAAGACGAGGAGTCCCTGTGTGTGGAGAGAGGAGTGACAAGTGAGGACTGTCTGTGGACGGACCGTGACACGCACAGCAATTCGCAAGATACTTGTCATTTAGCCGTACAATTATCCTAATACGGGAGACAAATTATGCTCATACATATCAGCATTTCTATAATAACATGGCAGCTGTTGACACTTGTTAATTATGTCAAACGGTTTTAAAGCTGGGGTACCCAACTTCAAATCATGATGAATATGTAGCTATAAAATGCAAAAGAGTGATTTCATCTTCATTTGAGAACATTCTGACTGTCTTAAAACAAGATTTACCAATGGGACAAAGCTTCTTCTTTCAAGAACTGTCGCATTTTTTTTCCCATTCCAAGGGAGACATCTCTTCTGTATTTTATATAGAGATTATTTAGTTTGACTGATGGTGAGTCAAAATGTGCTCAAATCAAGAGACTTTTTGTCAAATTTCAGCAATTTGTGACTATTTTTCATTCCTTTTTGCAGTGTTGTTGCTCTCAAAGTTCCATCCTTGTTTTCATATGCACGTATCTGGCCTCTGTCACATCTTTACATCAGCTTTTTCAGACAGAAAAGTGAAGAAGAAAGCACCAGCCTGACTCAACCACTCAGCTCTCTCCACCAAAGGGTCAAATAGTGACTCACAGGGCTTACTTTCTTACTTTATTTTTTGCATACTTTATTACATATGCAAAAGGTAATATGATGAACACAGCATACATCATTCGTTCACATAACTTTACTTTCGCAAGATGCTTTCTGTTGGGACAAGCACAGTGTATTATTTATGGGTAAAAGAAAGTTATGTACCACAGCTTTAAGAAGAATCATATGATACTTGAGACAGGCTAGTTTTACCCTACTGGTACAAGATACAAGATACAAGTTTTTAGTTTTTTTTGCCATTTGCAGAAAAACTGTGCAAGACTAGCCCAGTGTGTACCAGACAGAGAAGACGGCATAGACTAGAGCTCTAGCTACTGATGGTGTGTTGATTCAATAGTAATCAGACCTGCTGGTGATTGCAGTTGATATGAGACTTTCAAAACCCAGCTCAACCCATCAAATAGTGATTCTCAAAGCTCTTTCTCACAGCAAAAATAAAACATGTCTTTTTTTTTAGGCTAGAATGAACACAGCCTGAGTTGCTCACACACGTTTTGCTCTCACAAGACCAAACAAACACATGTATTATTTATGGACACCACTTTTTCTTTCTTTACCATAAGTCGATATGAGAATAATCACAATACTCTTTTTTTCTTCTTTTGCTTTTCAACATTGTCGTTAATTTAAAAGGAAAAGGGGAAACTTGGTCTTTTCATCCCCAGAGGAAGCGGAGACACCCATCCTCCCGCCGCACAATGCCGGGAACAGCTGGTTGATCGATACGCCACAAAAGCGCAGAGGTTAGAGCAGTCAAAAGATTGTTAACTAGCCATTTTATTTGCCGGACATTTATATCATTGTTTACGGTCGGGCGCCTCGCTTGCTCCACACCTGGGCTTGGAACAGATTCAACCACTGCCTCTGACCCGGAGCCGGAGAGCAGCCACCTCCACTGAGGGGCCACAACAGGGGCCAGTTCATCAGGCAAAACAGATACACATGTTTATCTCATTGGCACTAGAACAACAGGTGTATGTCAGGTGGATAGTAGTTATGACTGCATGTCTTGCTTCTATATTATGATAAAGCTGTTAATTTTAGACATCCTTCTTTATTATGCTAAAGTAGGACATTTTAGACTCTCTTTTTTTATTACGCTAAAGCTAGAGATTTTAGAATTTCTTCTATATTATGCTAAAGTTGGATATTTTAGACTTGCTTCTTTATTATGCTTTAGAGCTAGAGATTATCTACTTGCTTCTGTATTGTGGTAAAGTTGGAGATTTTAGACTTGCTTCTTTTTTATGCAATCGTTAAAGATTTTATGTCATTTTTGTATCGAGTTATTGTTCATTTATCTTTTGCTGTGTGCTCCTCATTCCTACTGTTCTGTAACTGGTGATGCAACACTGAAATTTCCCCACCGTGGGACGAATGAAGGATTTCCTAATCTTAATCTTGTTTGACAGGACGTATAAAAGTCAAATCAGAATAAATTTTTTAAGTGATTCCAATGTCTTTCTGTGTTTTAACTGTTTGATTCTCTGATTTGTTGTTGGAGAATCGACAACTTTGTAAAGTCCTCTCAGACGTCTGATGTTGTAATTCAGAGCTGTACAATTTTTTTTTTTTTGAATAGTTAACATTGAAACTAGATAATCAATTAATCAAGTATTGATATACAGAACAGCATTTTACATTTCCTGAGACATTTTAGCGTTGCACAGTGGTTAGTGCTTGTGCCTTACAGCAAGAAGGTCCTGGGTTCACCTCCAAAAAGGGCTGAGTGGAGTTTGCATGTTCTCTCTGTGTCTGTGTAGCTTCTGTCATCACTGTGTGCGGAGAGAAACATTGGTACTCACAAAACCAAATGCTTAGGGTGACCTTGGTATGTGAAATACGGTATATCTCACACAGGAGAAACATGTCACATTTGGTATGTCTCACTTTCTCACTTGTTTAAGGAGTTTGTCATTAGTTTCACATTGTAAGAAGAATAACTGAGGACAATTGACTTTACATTTACCTGAAATGTTTCAGAACCATTTTTGATCTTTATTAGAATATATCTTGTGGGACCATAAAACAGTGTGTGTTTAAAAGGAGCTTGTTTTTTAATGGGAGACTGCACTGCTGATATTTGGGTCAGAATCAAGGCATTTTTAAATCATCACCACGTGTCAAAATTGGTATAGTGCTGGAGTATCTGGTGAAATGACAAATAGTCTGTTGAATAGTGCAAACATTAAAGTTAAGTAAGTAATGTTTATTTATATAGCGCATTTTACAGTCCAAGGTCACCCAGCGCTTCATATTGTGTATGTTTTTAGTGGTAGGGAGACCGGAGCACCCAGAGGAAACCTTCGCAGACACGGGGAGAACATGCAAACTCCACTCAGAAAGGCCCTGTTCCAGGACCTTCTGGCTGAGAGGCAAGAGTGCTATCCACTCAGCCACTGTGCCGCCAGTGTAACAAATGTACTTATTAACTTTAACTAATAAATGAGCCATATTGTGTATCGTGGGCACCCATCCAAGGATAAGTCACAATCATATCGACTTGATGATCACTCTCTGCTTTTGTCCCAGAAAAAGGTTGGTGACCCCTATAGACCAGATGATCCAGTCCACTCAACATCGTGATCGAGCAGGAAAGATAAGTATTGTGACAACATTAATGTGTATTTGAATTTTCAAATATTCCCTGTGGTTGGACAATATTTCTGTTGTAAGCAGCTAAAATCTGGGACAGTCTTCTAGAAATAGTGAGACAAGTGTTTAACTAAACAATTATTTGTGCAGCATAAAACTGAACTTTCTCTTTAGAAATAAATGTATGTTTTTTGTATTATTATTTTTTTCACCAACACAGATCTTGGAAAACAAAAAAAGTCTGAAATATAAGTAGAATATGAACAACCCCAAAATTCTAAAACTAGTAATATCTAGACTTTTAATGAAACTGTTTTTGTTTATTGATTTCACAGTGACAATTGCTTCTTGTACTTTTTACCTTGTTTTATTTTATATATTTATCTGGTGCACACTGAGACTTTTTGCACATGTATTCCAGTGTGGTTTTACTACAATACAATGATACTGAATCTGATATCTGCTCATGTGGCGTGGACAGCTCCAAATAAACAATATCAACAAAATTGCCCTGTCATAAGTCCACTGACTGTGAGCAAGGGGGCTTCCATCTTGTGGCAACCCTTTTTTTTCTCTTTAATCTTGATTTTGACGTTCCCTTTCTTGATTTAAAGCTCTTTGAATGTTCACTTTGCGCATCCATTGTGCCAAAAGCATACACACATTTTGTTTGTGTGATCTCGAACAGTGATCTTGACATTCCTCCATATGTGTTGTGCTCGCATGTGTTAGAGAACCCCGAGAGCCAGCGACACATGGCCGAGGCTGCAGGCCAGGGCTGGGGCTGGGGCAGACAGGGTCCCCGCGGGTTGGCAGGCCGGGCTGACCCTCGGCGGCTCACCCAGGCGGAGAGGGGCTTCCTGCACGTCTTTTGTCCCACGCCGGGCCCTTGTGTCTGCAGCGGCTCCGCTCCGGACTCACTTGGCAGCTCACCCCTCAGACGGACATCTGCTCCCTGCATCCTCCCTGTGAACGCCTTTGAAAACATGCAGACCATGATCATGCTCTTTGGACGCACCACACTCACATCTCACACTCATTTTAATACCAGTGAATAGAATTTATATTCGTAACCAATTTTCTTGCTCTTACCCACGACAATAAGCGATATAAAACACACAATACATACACAAATAATACAATAATTACTATTTAATGCAACATTATTCTATAAAACCTCTTGGACCCTTTTCGATTTTGACCTGTATATATCACGTATTTTTGTCAATACCAAAACTAGTTATAGTATTGATTAACACCTGATTTGTTTTGTATTTTTGACAAGCTATTTATACGTTCATCAATAATATGGCCCCTATCAGTGAGTAAAAAGTCAATTTTCTCTCTCACATAAATGTTGATAAGATATCTACAATGACTGAGATTATTTGTTTTATGCGGTTTTCATTGTTCTATTATTTGTTCTTCGTATTTATTGTATTATTGTGTGTATAGAGCCCTTTGACTGCTCTGTATAGGTTTTTGAATTGCCGGCATATGTGCAATTCATTACGCTATTTACATATTATTGCACACACACAAATAACGCAATAGAAGCACTCTTTAGCTGCTTTTACACAACAACAAAAATACAACTTTCTACATATTCTTTCCTCTGGGGCGTCGCAGGCAGTGAGTGATTTTGGGCCACGCAATATTACACAGACTTTGTTCGTGCTCACCCGCCCAGAATAACGCGGTCATTATGGCGGCCAGGGGGACAGGTTTTGAGTTTGATTTCATGATGGTAATATGGCCCATGTGCGGAGAAGAAAGCCCTCAATGGGGACATCTGTTCGCCGCGGCATACAGTTACAGGCGTGCGTAAAAGTACCACCACCACCACCACCACTATGAACCAGTGCGACCAGTGTGCGCGCAACAGGCAACAAAAGACCCGAGGGGACGCGAGGATTGTTCATGTATTAAATGTCACTTAAATCTTATAAGCAGAAGGGACATCATCTCCAATAACCCTTCCATAATGAGCTTATATGTTCTAAATCATAACCGATCAAAGACTATTTTTGTCCAATCAATACGCACGTGCACACAGCCATACATATACAGTGCGTTTCTGATGAAAAAAGAAAAACATATAAAATAGCATTCGTTTTGTTCTGTAAAATAAACTCACCCGTCTAATTGATCAGTCAGTGCAGCATTGGTGTGTGCAGAGACGCGAGAGGAAAGCTGTCGTGTTTTCTGCAGAGCATCAGGCGCTGGAGGGTCAGTCAGTCAGAGCGCGTTCTGGACCACGTATGTATACACGCTTTCATTTGCCTCACTTTTGTTTTGTCCAGTGTTATGTCATTAGTGCATGATATAGCACGTGTGTGTAAATGCAAGCTTATTCTCGTGTGTTTATTTTTTTTTTCACTTTGCATGTTTGTCTGCAACAGTTGATGATTGAGTTTTTATAGGGACAAGTGTATTTTGTTATGTGATACAGCCTTTATATTGTGTATACTTAACAAATATTATATATACGTTTTAAAGGCTATGGGCTTTAGTAGCGTGTGATTGAAATAATATTAATACTTGTTCTCATTGATCATTCGCAAAAATGAAAACCATAGTAAATGTATAAAACAAGTGTGCGTAAAATGTAATTCTAAAAAAAAACGCACGCACAGTTTTACTTGCATGTGTGTCTCTGTATCTATTTGCCTATGCGTGCCATGTGAATATGATTATCCCAAAAGTGGCTGTCCACTCGCTGAAACACAAGTATTAATCAGCTAGTCCATCTATCACGCGGTGTAATAAAGGAAGCGACATGGTTTAGGCAGATGATGTGATGTATAATCCCTGGTCGTTTTAATTAACTTTTCCCTGTCCTGTAATGACCAAGCTGGTCAACAGCGCCGGTCAATAAGCATGTTAATATCAAACAAATAAAAGTGCAGATGATTAAAAACCTCCTGCGTTATTAAATTTGAAATTCAAATGAAATGTATGCTTCCAGTGCGCTGCATGCTAATGGCACCAGATTGAGTCCCTGCATTAAACCCGCGTCATTATGTAACAGCAGCTTGCTTTAGATTTTACAAAATGTCAAGAGACAAAGTGGAAAACCTATTCAATATAACCATCTCATCATTTGAATACTCCAGCTCAGTGCAATCCCTTAACACACTGATAATAAATAATCTAAGTCTTTTCCCCATGCACCACCCGCCTCCAATATTCCCCACATTTTATTCTTGTAATATCCAGAACAAAAAAGGCAAAAGTCAACTACTGCAACCTTTCCCTCCTCCTCCTCAGCTATAAGCTAATATCACAAATTGACTTATCCACCTACGGAATGCGCGAGTTTTAATCAAAACTGTCAAAGATAATTGAGCGCAATTACAGTAATGTTAAAGTTTAAAATGGCACCAGAGCCATTATCCCGGACCCAGAACAAAGCACTCTTTATATTGGCTAAAATCGTGTGTATATTGAGTTAAAACTTCCAATGAGTCACTTGTGTAAAAGTATGACACTTAAAACAAAATAACGCGCGAGGCCGGGTGCGCGTACAATGCTTCGAAAAACTTTGGATCAAGCAATTCAAATGATTAGCAGGTTAAACATAGATGTGGCAGAACATGATCCATGTGAAGTTCTTTAAGAGTAAAGGCCCATCTCAGCTGGACAGTCAGTCAGTCAGGGCTATAGGCTTCTCTCACACTTGTGGATTGTGCCCTCTTAATATTTATGGAATGTGATGTTCAGTAAAATTTCAGTAAGTGCCCCTAATTCCTCCTTCCTAATTCAGTGTCATTTAAGTTTGCCTTCCTTCCGCTGTGTTTTATGATGGAGGGGGCGGTGTGGGGTGGAGGAGGGAGGAGAGCTGTCTCGCGCTCACTGTGCGGAGAGGCGCGCCCGCTGATTGGTCGCCCGTGTCACAGCGGCACTTCAAAGCCAGAGAGGAGCCTACAATTGTGGAAGAATGGGCGGACCGCATCATTGTATTGCTCACCTCTAAAAAAACAGTGCTCTGATTCATAAATATAAAAAGATCCTCAGAAGAGGGCAGTGTTTTTGTGTGATGGCAACTTCACTTCTCGGGGTGAGTCTAAAGGACTTTCTTTCTGCTTTAATTAGTTCGTGTCATTGTCCGGCAGAGAAGGATTAAACTCGCAGCGGTCAGTAACAGCCAGCAAAGCCGGTGCAGTACATGTATTTCCTGAAGCGTCTCTTGTGAGATATTTGCGGAGGATACAGCAGTAGATCTGTAGCTCAAAGTGCGTGTGTTTGCCGGTGTCCCGTCTGGCATGCGCCTGTGAACGAGTCTGTTGCTGTTTGGTATTTTACCGCTTCAGGTAGGAGCTGCTTTGTTTCAGGGCATTGACCTTATTTTACACTATTTCATTCTATACTTGTATATCATTGAGTGTTTGTTGTCCGTGGTATTTGGGCCTATCCTCTAGCCTATCCCTGAATCCTCCCTGTTTCTCTGGAGTTTGGAGTACAGAACCTGTTCAACTTGTCATGCTGTCCAGTCACTCACTGTATCTTTTGTTTTCAGGAGGAGCCGAGGTTAGGATCGACTCCCTTAGCCATGTTAGCCGCCACATGTAATAAGATTGGGAGCCCAAGCCCGTCACCTTCGACTATTACGGATAATTCCTCCTCATTTGGGAAAGGATTTCATCCATGGAAGAGAGCAGCGGCCAGCAGCTGCAGCCTCGGCTCTGGGCTCCCCGGCTTCGGGGTGAGCCGTAATGGATCAGGGATCACGGATTCATTCGGTGCCAATAACTCCAACGGATCCAGCGCCTTTTCTTTGACCCCCGGCTCGACTTCTAGCTCCCACTTTGGAAACGATTACTCCGTGTTCCAGGCGTCTGTTTCCAGCGGTTCCCAGGAGTCCAGCCACCAGCCCGTGTTCATCTCCAAAGTGCACACATCAGTGGACAGTCTTCAGGGCATTTACCCCAGAATGAGCGTAGCGCATCCTTACGAGTCCTGGTTCAAGTCTTCTCATCCCGGGATCCCCACCGCAGACGTGGGCACCACCAGCGCGTCCACGTGGTGGGACGTGGGAGCGGGATGGATAGATGTCCAGAACCCAAACGGAGCCGCGCTGCAGTCGTCCTTACACTCGGGAGGGCTGCAGGGCTCCCTGCACTCTCCTTTAGGCGGATATAACTCTGACTACTCCACTCTCAGCCACTCTGCCTTCAGCACCAGCCCCTCTCCGCACCTGTTGACCAGCGGGCAGCACCTGATGGACGGCTTCAAGCCCGTGCTGTCTTCTTACCCGGACACTAGCGCCTCTCCTCTGGGGGGAGCAGGCGGCACCATGCTGGCCGGGCCTCCCCCAGCCTCTTTAGCTGGCTCCCCGCGCTCCTCTGCGCGCCGGTACTCAGGCAGAGCCACGTGTGACTGTCCCAACTGTCAGGAGGCGGAGAGACTGGGGCCAGCGGGCGCAAGCTTACGCAGGAAGGGACTGCACAGCTGCCACATCCCGGGCTGCGGGAAAGTTTACGGGAAAACTTCCCACCTGAAAGCACACTTGCGGTGGCACACTGGCGAGAGGCCGTTCGTGTGTAACTGGCTCTTCTGCGGGAAGAGGTTCACGCGCTCAGACGAGCTGCAGCGGCATTTACGCACGCACACGGGGGAGAAACGGTTTGCGTGTCCGGTGTGTAACAAGAGGTTTATGCGCAGCGACCACCTGAGCAAACACGTAAAGACTCACAGCGCAGGAGGCTCCGCGGGCTCTGGCTCCGGGGGCAGCGGGGGGAAGAGGGGAAGTGACACCGACAGCGAGCACAGTGCGCCCGGCAGTCCTCCGTGCCAGTCTCCTGACCTGTTGCATCCAAGCGAGGCCGGCCAGGGGGTGACTCTGAGCGGCCTCTAATGAGGACAGACAAGCACTGGACTGTGGAAGCCTGAGCCGCGTGTGGACTGACGATAAACACGCACAAACTCAGTGAATTTTGTCATAAGAGGAAAAGGCCCGTGCGTAAAAACTGTGCCAAACTGCAGACGCGCACGCGGACACTACTTTTATGACTCTACTTCTGCAGCAACATGCGCAGAACTGGCTCTTGTTCAAAACCAAACTCTGGCACTTTATTATCTGGCAGGAGAATATGTTTTAATGGGATGTTTCCATTTATTTTGAAAGTACATTTCTCACTATGTTATTCCCGTCACCTTGTGCCAACTTTATAAGCCCAGGCCAGTTGTACAATTGGCATCGAAATGTGTACATACAAATAGTTAGATCAGTCTCATCCCACTGTAAAGACTTATTTGTCCCAGAGACGCTTTTGTATAGTTATTTCTAGTTGTATATTGACTCTAGTAAATATTTGCAAATATACAGAAATGTACTTGGAGTTTTCTTTGATCTGAAATGTAATGTGAAATTTCTATTTAACCACGAGTTTCCTTGTGTTTAGGGGTCATAGGCGCACTTTTGATTTTAAGAGGTGTTAAGAGGTCCTCGAATCATTGACTGTTTACCCACGTTTTTTTTAATTTAAGTACACATGTGCAGTGATTTATTTTATTCACAATGAAATCTCCTTTTTCTGCAGAAATGGCTTTTAATGAAAGCCACCAATAAAGTGAGATAAAGTAAGCAGCAGTGGATATAGTTTGTTATAGACTGAACTGCAGAAATAATTGTGTTTTTCCAAGAGGCAACGTCCACAACGTGCTCTTTATAACTTAGGGATGTTCTTTTTGGGTTTTTTTTAGACTCTACTTGTTCCTATCAAGTCCAGACGAGATGAACATTCCAAGAAAACCTGTTTACAGATTTAGAATGATATCACATGGGAAACATTATTTTATTTTGAGTTGTATGGACTTCAAGCGCGCACTGCTTTACACCCGTCAGAAGCCTTATAATTTGCCTTATTCCAAATGTAGAAACTACATATAATTTCAAGTCCACACACGGTGACGCGTCCTGCGTGTGCGTTTTACTGAGACATAAGTTCGTTGATGGTGTTTGAGAAAGTTGCTGTTTGTCAAGTCAGAGAAAATAATGTAAACATCCCCCGAATGTCAAGACCTCCTTCCCATATTTTGTGTTGAGATTTGTATTATTTAACATATTTTCCAAACGAAATGTTAATTACAAATAGAATTAAACAATATGGATCTATATAAATGCTGGTGTTTTGAAATGGTTACGAGTACATTGGGACATTTCAATATAGGCCTCAAAGGTATACGAATAAAAATATATGCGTATGTTTATATAGAAACACTTTTGATTCCGACAACACATTTCTTGAATAAAAAAGGCCCAAAACATATCAGCCTAAAGAAGGATGAGGCGCGTATTGTTTGCGTTAAATCCAAAAGGCGCGCTAAAATCACAGAAAAACCAACATCACATTATATGTAATTAAAGGAACGCATTCAGTTTAAATCATAACTTTTATTGAGATTCACTATAATCGTTCATTATTTATTAAACGCGGAGTAAACTCAAATATGACTATAGCCTTAAGGCGCCATCTAGCGGCGAGTTCAAGCTCAGTGAAGGCCCGAGCTGCACGACACAGATTTATGCTTAAATAGTTGTATCCTGTTCAAACATATATTTGCAACCATATACTTCTGTGATTTTAAACTAAACATGGCTTGAATTCAGTAGTTTTGAAAATGATGTCAAGAAGCTGGCAGTCTTTCTTATTTCAAGCAAAACTCTTTTTTGTGACAAGAACACGTGTTCACTATATTTTACGCAAAAGGAAAGTCTTTAAAACTAATGCACAGCAAACGATGACACATATAAGTCAATCTTTGCTGGTAGTAAGCTATATATGTCGCAACAGCGTTTGTCAATGGGTTTAAAAACAAAACAAAAAAAACATGTAGAAAAACAGCAGGGGCAAAACTACTAAAAATACTTGAAGTACAAAACAAGAAAGAAAAAAACTTTCTTGCAGTGTAAAATATTCATATTACGTGATTCTTTAGTTCTCTAATTATTTAATTTTAAAGAGCTTTGCAGCAGTTGAACTTGTACAAGTACATGAAAAGAAAAAAACATATTTTGTGGTTGTCAAAGTGACCATTCAATCTGAGAATCACATTTTGATATGTCTTACAATCTCACATCCACAAAGCTGCTAAAACATAAAGTAAACGGCCTGCTTCCTGAAGGCCACGTCTGTTTGTGTGTGACAGGTCAGATCTGCAAGAGTCGCCTCCACTCACAATAAAAATAAGTGATTTTGTTTTTTATGAAGCAACACATCAATGAAAGTAAGACAGAGACGTTCACAGCTCTGAGAAGCTCGACAAAGTGGAGGGACATTAAAGCTGGGGTACTTTACTCTCAAACTGCCAAACATGCATGCAATAAAATCATGTCACTGTAGTTCCCCTCGTTCTCAAACAGTTTGCTTCTATCACAAGTTTCCACATACATGTGTCCTTGGCCTCTGTCACATCTTTACATCAGCTTTTTCAGACAGAAAAGTGACAAAGAGAGGACCGCCCTCACTCAGCCAATCAGCTCTCAGCCCAAAGCTTCAATAGTGACTCACAAGGCTCTTTGAAGACAGCCTATTTTTACCATTTTACATGTGAACAGTTCATTTGCAAGAATAAAACAATATTTGAAAGGCTTATAAATTTGCCTTTTACCAAGGTTTTTGAAAAGCCCAAAACAAAAATTTCAGTGCCATACAGATAAATGGTCACCCTTTCTCGAGCAAATCCTTCCAAAAGAACTGCCAATAACAAAACATGGTGTATATAGTAATCAGAGGAATCACATTTTTGCCAAATTATCAAAATGGAGGTATCTGTCTTTGCAAATGACCTCTTCATTATTATTTATGAAACAGAAAAGTTAGATATCAAAGTTAAAGGTGGTATAATACAATGGACAAAGGACAAGACCATGACAATACATGTTCAACAAAACCATATAGAAATTAAATAATAATAAACAATCATTGTACATTGAAAAGAGCAAATGTACAGGATGCATTTTGACTTAATTCAACTTGAAAGAAAGGATGACACCCGCACACTGTCTAACTTGCAAACACCAGTGGTTTATTAGCAACGTTTCGGCCACAGGCCTTCCTCAGGCAAAATATCAACTTAATTCAACTTAAAATTAAATAATAGAAAATCGGCCACAATTAAACCTCAAACGATTGGAGGATGTCTTTTTCTATTGGCTGTTCTGAACTTAAACACACACACACTGAGTAACTCAACGGGGAATAAACCGGTTACAAATGTCAGCTTTAGTTGAACGTAGACAAAACTGGAGCACACCAGAACTCCCAGAGACATCATTTTTGACTGGTCCCATTCGAATCAATTGAATTCTGATAAATTTCCCCAAAACATGTTTAGTCATACACCAGTTTTATTTAAAGTAAGTCATTTATTTACCTTTACTCACGTTTAATAAATTGGTGAATATAAAGGAAATACAACAAAAACAGTTTGTTGAAAGGCTAAATGCTATCATGCTAATACAGTATGTTGACTGTAGTGTATTGCTATGCTAAGCACCTTAAAACATGGAAAAAGGACTTTTAAAATGCCATATTTTTGCCGCAAACAAAAATTACTGAATTTGAAAGAGGTAGAACTACTCACACACAAAAAATAATAATTAAAACAGAAAAAGGCACAAAGTTATGAAGACCAAAAAGGTTCTTTCACAGAGCTATATCACACTTCTAAAAGCCGTCAAATTGACTGCTCTGGGAGTTCTAGTTTGACCTCTTTTACTAACAAGATGTTGAACAGACATTATTTTCACCTTCAAAATCCAAATGACTTTTAGATGCTGCTGTGCGTTTCAAAATAAGTCAAAAATTGCTCAAATTTGGCAAAATGTATCTAAATTTGAGCTCATCTTGACTGTGTTAAAACAAGTTTTGGGACAAAGCAAAATCATCTAGTTTTAAAAAGATACAATGTCTTCCTTGGAATGAGAAAATAAAGAAACAGTTCTAAAGTCAATGGACAGTTCTGGACTGTTCCATTGGCACATGTTGTAGATAAAAACTACACGACTCAAGCAGTCATTACCCCATATTTTATCATTTTTTACAGTGTCGGATGAAAGAACTCTTCTTCCCACCGGAAAATAAATAAAAGTCATGCTGCAAAAACAACATTGATACACAACCATTTTAACCGTGTTACAACCCACAGCTCTCAGGTTCTATAGTTTCCACAAGAACATGTATTTTTGGCCTCTGCCATAACTTTATACAAGATTTTTAGACAGAAAAATGAGAAACGAGATTTATTCTCAACTTAAGACTCTTTCTGTTGAAATGAATGAAGTGACGTACCCCAGCTTTATTTTGCATTCACATCTGCTTCATGATATGAAGCATCTGCTTTGGGCACATCTGCTTTGCCCAAAGCCCCCACTGAAAGATCAAGGCTCTGCTCACACTCAGAGAGCAGCCTCCTGTGGACTCACCACCTGCAGAGGGTCAGTGAGGGGCTGGTGCTATGAGACTTGGGTGGCATCTCTGACTGCCACCCCCCTGACCCAGAAATGGATTAAAGGGTAGAAAATGGATGGATGGATGGATGGATCTGCTTCATTTGAGCAGAAAAAATATACGTTTACAAATATTTGCCAATGGAACAATAGTTAAGATAAGATAAACCTATATTTGTCCATCAGTTGGGAGATCTTAAATCTTAATAAATGCAAATAGTTTGCGGTCTCAAGTTAGACAAGTGGAAAAGGCTTGTTTTGCTGCAGACCATTGACATTGTGTGAGTCGAATCGTTTCAGATCAAGACAATATGTTTGTAAAGAAGTAATTTAACTCCTACAGATATGGCTTTTGCACTATACTCGGAAAGAGGAAGTGAACTTTTGGGGAGAAGGTGAGTGAC